ATGCCAGAAAATGTGTATTTTGAAGTTTTTAGGTTGAAAACAGAAAATTTCATCTTTTCTAAACCCATCGGCCAGGTCGTCGGCTTTTTGACGGAATTTGAATCTCAAAGCGCGAAGTTAGGCCACTTGATTAATTGAACTATACATGTAGGTTTTTGACTAAGGCGAGATGTTATGTTAAACTTTTGAAACAATTTTTGTAGAGGTTTGTAGGAGATTTCTAGAGGCTAGGTCTTCAAAAACCTTTCACAACCTACAATTTTATATCAACTAACTTACTGATGGATTTGCATAAAAGCCGAAAGCAGGAACTTGATAATAGGTTAGGATAGGTTGTAGGTTGGGAAAATTTAGGTTCGGTTAAGTTAAGGTTGAAAACTCGTAGGATTGGATAGGTTCAGGTTGTCAACACTATAGGACAGCATAGGTTAAGGACGCTAATATTTACGTAGGGTAAGTTGCAGGATACGAAATAATTGCAACCTGTACATCGCTACCGTCAGTATACAAGTCAGAAGACGAAATCGCATAGATCCCGTATTTTTTTCAAAAAAGTAGCAAGTAGACAAATATGTAAATGCAAATGAAAGCTATGACATCTATCTTTTTTAAAAGACAAAGAATCATGGACCGAGGTGCATACATAGAGAATTGTAAAAACTATTTTCCAAAGGAAAACTTATGCAGTATAAGTTTTTCTGACGGTAATTTGACATTTTAACGTAAAATGATGTTTTTTGGGTTTTAAATCATACAAAAGTTTGAAAATATTCTGATATTGATTCCATTTGATCATTGAAAAAGATTTTACTATGGTCTTTGATAAAGTCATCAATTCGCTTCATTTTCTTTTCGCGTAACACTTATAGTAAAAAAATGCAGAGAAAAATTTTTTAACATGAACTTCTGTGATAAGTTTTCTGTTTTATTTTTATTTCTATTGTAGAAAATTGCCTTCCTATATAATTCACGCATTAATCCAACGATTTAGCAGTGATAAATCTACGCAATTAATATTCAATGAGTGCACATAACGCATTATGCTCATCTACTTCATCAATCGATCTAAATAATTTATCTCCAATTCAAGTTTTCATTAGAATTAAACCCAATAATTCAAACGATCAAAATGAAACAATTCCATTTAAATATTCTAGCAATAATACAATTCTTACCCTACCTAATTCACCTCCATTGTCATTTGATAATGTGTTTCCACCTCAATCAACTCAATATGATATATTTGAATCAATTATTCCGTTTCTTCATTTACCATTATATGGTTATAATTCAACTATATTTGCATATGGTCAAACAAATAGTGGTAAAACATACACTATGTTAGGTCCTGATGGTAAATGATCTTTAGTTGCTGATTTAATGGGGATCATACCAAGAACAAGTAGATATTTGTTTGCTGCTATACATAAACTCACATCATCATCTCCGTCTATACAATATCAAGTACGTGTGAGTTATTTAGAAGTATATAATGGTCGTGTTTATGATTTATTAAGAAAGAATGATAATAAAAGTAACAACAGGCTGCATTCTCTGAGTATTCGTGGAGACAATCAGGGTAATATAAATGTTACGGATGCAGTAGAAATACCTGTACATAATAGTTTAGAATTAGAGAATATATTAATGCAAGGTAATCAAAGACGTGCAACTGCATTTACATATATGAATTCAGCATCATCAAGAAGTCATGCTTTACTAATTATATGGGTAGAAAGAAGAGAACGATCAACATCATCATTATCCAGAGAATATACATCTTATTTAGGTCGTTTAAATTTGATTGATTTAGCCGGTAGCGAAGATACTTCACGTTCAAAAGCTGAAGGTGACAGATTTCGTGAAGCAATTAATATTAATACTGAATTATTTCAATTAAGAAGAGTATTAGATGCACTGTCAGCATCTTCATCCTATGTTCCCTACAGGGATTGAACCTTAACCCGTTTACTTCAATCATCATTATCAACAACACAGTCTATCACAATATTAATTTCTCATATTAGTTCATTAAATATCGATCTCTCTGAAACTCTTAGTACTTTAAAATATTCTCAGATAGCTAAATGCGTACAACGTACATCGATCCCTGCACAAAAACTTTGTAAAAATATAGATGCGAGTGACGTAATGTTTGGTGATTATAATGATCCAGTACAGTGTTTTTATCGTCGTACAGTTTATATTCATACACCTTCTTATGGGAAAATATTTGCTCGATTAGCAGGGCATAGGTATGATGAACAACAGAAATGTATATTACTTATACATGGTTCTGGGCCTACAAATTCTTCAATGTATTGGAATGATCTTGTAAGAAGACTATTATTCGCAACGTCATCGTCGTCTTCGCTATCTCCCTATTATTTTGTAGCTATAGATTGTCCAGGTTATGGTCGTTCAGATGGTGATAAACAAACAATTCGTTCTTATCCTGGCGCTTTTGTTCAAGAAATAATTGATTGTATTTCACCAACAACACATAAAGTATATTGTCTCATTGGTTCTTCTCAAGGTGTAGCTGCTGTATTCAATGCATTGGTCGAAAAGCCCGCCATATCATCATTTTTAGCTGTGCAAAATCCTGTTTCACACGATCCTCAACGTTTTGTATGTATAAAACAGCCTGCACTATTAATGTATGATACAGATGATGATGGCCATCCTGTTAGCGTTGGCATATTAGTTAAGAAGTATATTCCAAATAATCATTATTATGAATTTGCAAGTTCAAAACAACCAAAGTGGTTAGAACATAATGCACATTTAAAGTTGTTACAGCTGTTCAATGAGTATGATGCAAACAATAATACAACAAATGCTTTATCTTTACAATTAACAGCATCTTCGAAGATTTCTCTTCCTTCTCTTCCTGCTTGTGTATCTGTAGCAGGTGGTATAATCTCATATTTATCATCATATAATCGTGAACCACTTTATAGAAATTCAAACGAAGAATTAGAATCAATTTTATCAGCATATGAAAACCAAAGTGTTCAAAATGACGATTTGTTCGTTGAAAAATTGAACCTAAAAGGATCGAAGATGGCGAAAGTAAAGCGCAAAGACTAGCTACAGAATTAGCCCAAACACAATGCGATTTATGTAACCAACACATTAGTAGCAATGATATGTCTAAATCGCTTCGATTACCCGATTGTCGTCATCTATTGTGTTATTCATGCTGTTGTGAGACAATAAAGCTTAATTCATACGAATGTCCCGTTGTTGGTTGTGCTATGAAACTTAATGTTCCTTCCTCACAACTATCATTATATTCTTTACCATTCTCTTCAGATAATGAAAAGCATATAATAATACAATTTGGAAATTCTTGTAAATCAATATCATCATCCACTCAACGCTACGAATACACCGCATATGTGAAATGTAAAACGAAAAATGTGATTGATAGTGTTTCATTTGATATTAATCCCGGATATCCCAAGAGCGCTATACGTGTTTCTAAAGCTCCGTATGAATTAGTTCGAATAATGAATTTAGAATTCACATGTTATTTTATTATTCAATGGAATAAAGCGTTGAATTGGCCTAAATTACGTATAACCTATCATGTTCAAAACAAGCAAGACAGTTTTACAAGAAATTTATTAGTGAGAATACCAAATCAAGGCAATACAATGGCTAAATCGCATAAAACACGTGAAGAAGTTGTGTATAATTGGACTGATAGAGACAGAACAAAACCTAATATAAATTATGTGGTATTGTCACATGATTAATATCACTCGAACTGAGTCAGTGTACTGATTTTGAAATTTTTTTTTACTCTTTTCCTACACATATCGTCACCAGAGCTGTCGCATGGGTGGGTTAGCCCACCCAACCCGTTGGGTTGGAGCTTCCAATGGTTAGTCTCTAACCCAATCCACCGGGTTGGGTCGACATTTAAAAAATCTCAAAACCCACCCATCCACCCAATTTCAGATTCAAACCCTGTCCGGTTACCCAGGGTTGACCATGGAATGAACCCATAGAAAGGTAATTTAGTAGTGCCGGGATTATTTTCAACGATCGACGAACATGTTTGTCGGGTGAAAATTTAGAAAATATCATATTGATTCGATCTATCGAAAATCAAGATAAAAATACTATTGGTATGTTAGATTAGCATTTATCTCGTACAGGTTCTTGTTAATATGTTTCTTTTTTTTTAATTTCTTCTCAAATTTTGTTTTTGAAATATTATTTTTGTACGAAAGCATGTGTAAAAATATAACATCATATATACTTTGTTTTTTCACCATAGACAAACTTCTTTGTCTATTTCTTTCGCTGGTGATGTTCTTTTGTATATAAACTTAATAGTGTAAATGTAAAACAAGTGCAACTAATCTAACTTCTATTGTTTTTTTATTCTCTTCTACCTTTATTTTGTATTATAATTTCTTTAATCATGTTAACCACGGTGAAGATTATCTTTTTATCTGTATGGAAATAAAAATAATATCTATTATTATATATCCTATGAAATGATTTTTCATTTTATTAACAATTTATACAGGCGGATCTGAACTTGCATTTCTCTTAACAATACTTAATGAAAAATTAAAATATTATAAAACCCAGGGTTAATCCAATGGGTTACCCAACGGGTAGGGTTGAGCTGCTCAACCCAATCCTGTAACCCATGGGTTAATAAAATAAAAAATAGTTGGACTGATTTCCACCCAATCAACTACCGGCGATGGGTTGGGTTACCCATGGGTTAAAAAAAAAACAAAAAACGGCAGCTCTGATCGTCACTACCCCGCCAGGTTTTAACTTACTTTTATATTCCATTTTAAATAAATTTATAGGACACGTGCCAAATATGGAGTTTTGTCGGCAAAATCTTAAGAAAAACTAGTTTTTCTATTAAAATAAAAGAAATTCAAAAAAAATTTTTCTAGCGTCCATTTTACAGAGTATCCAATTTTTTATAGAGCTGTATGACTTTCATTTAATTTTATTTGCTTTCAATACAACTTTAATGGCTCATACAGTTTCACACGCTAAATGTTATCGTCGATGTTGTAGTAGCCAAATAAAAAAGTGAGAGACGGTATTTGAAAAACTAGTTAAAGGTCCAAAAGATAGAGCATAAAATTTTTGTATAAAATCAACCGGTTTTGGTTTCGCTAGTTGAACCTACAGTGCGTCAAAAATGTTTAGACATAATTTTTTTTACCAAAGAGAGCTAATAATAGGTGCTGCTTACTGTAAAAGAATCACCAAGTTCGAACACAATTTGACGGAGTTGCACGAAAGGGAGTATTTTTCCGAAAAATTGAGCTGGATTCAGTAAAAGAAGTTCTTGAACACGAAGAAATGTCGAAAAGTTGAAAGTAAAATGTGGAATCGATAGCTGATCAAATTCGCCATCGGTTGATCTATGTTTGAATTTTTTTGAAGAAAATTTCTTGGTTAAGAAAAGTAAAATAAGAGATGTTTCATTTTCCCGATTTTTTAAAAAACACTCCGTTCCGCACAACTCAGTCGAATTGAGTTAAAACTCGATGATTTTTTTTCACAGTAAACAACATCTATGATTAGCTCTTTTTGGTAATAAAGTTAGGTTCACAACTATCACGGCCCCAGAGTTATAGCGAACATAAAAAGAATCCGAAAATCGAAAAAGAAATCCTAAACTTTTTTGGCACATCGTGTTTTCTATAGTTAGATATTTGAGAAAGACGAAGAAGGAGAACGGAGTGATTTTGAAACTTAAGTAGAACTCTTTCTAAAAATTCAGTTTTTCCACCATCTTTCCAGGTTTTTTGTCAACTTTTAGACATAAAAAAAAACATAACGTGTACATCCGTTACAATGGCGCCTTGACTGAAAATATCTAAAATGCTCGCATTTCTCGCAAGCACTGTGAAATCTAGCAGATAGCTTGAAAAATGTAGATGTTATTTAATATTTCAAAATTCTCTGAAGTAAAAAATATAACTGTTTTCTTCTGCCGTCGTTATAGACACGAAATGTAACGGAAAATAAGAGAACCATCCAAAGTTGATACAATTGGTTGATAATGAGTTTGAAGTGTGTGAAATATTTCTTTTATTCTGTCAAAAGTTAGCTAAGTTTTTGCATTACGAAGGTGTGGGTGTGAAGATCAGATGAAATACGCCCATATCCATCCACATCCACACCCACACCCTCATTCAATAATATGGAAGTTAAATTATTTGAGTTGGTGAAATTTGATCGAATTTTCTGTTATGGATGTGTAGCAGTAAATAATGATTAAGGCATGTTTAATTTATAGGAGCTCGAAATGCGCATTTGAATTGATTTGTTCATATTAAATGCTTATAAGACAGTTGTTATAAAGAGTGAGGACGAAAATGTTTGATCTTTTGCTTGTTTTTTCTAACCTATTTAAGAAATTATCTAGCAGATCGTTTCGAAGATATTTGATGATTATAAAGTAAAATATGGATGGTAATATTTTTCTAATCAAGCCTCTATTATCATGAGATGAATAGTATTGCACTGTTCTGTCGTCCGAGTAGAATTATAATATCAACTGAGTTTATAAGAATACGACGAGGAATCGAATTTAGTTGGGTGTAGAAATAAATTCTTTTAAAATTAATTTTAGTTAATACTTTTGCCAGAATTTCAATGATTAGATCTGTATTTGTACTCAATGAGATAATACTACGATAGTCATAGTATTTCTCAATAGATTATCGTTCATTGCAGTCTGTTATCATGTTCGGATTTGCATGCAGTTCAATGCTTTTATCTTCTTCTTTTTAAAGACGATAGTTTCTGTATCTCTTCTCTAACGTTTTCTGTTACTAACTTTGCGATAAACGCAAGAGTCATATACTTGTCATGACTTCGATATTTCACGAAGGAAAATATTTGAGTGTACTCTCTGAGAAGATGCTATCGTTCAACTTTAAAGAAAATAGAAAATCAAACTTTTTCGTTTTTAAGTATAGTACCACTACTATAAGGCGTGTCATATTTTCAAGCATTATAGAAGTTCGACAAAGTCTCATATGAAAAAGCTTCTTTTTCATTGCAAATCTAAGCATCTATCTTGTTTCGTCTTACTTTCAAGGAAAAAAAATACTTAGATACCTTCTAAATTTATGTTAGACGAAGTTGGAAATTATATCCTACAGAAAACGATGATAGAATTGAGGAAAAGCTGATCATTTAAAAAAAATGTTGTAATTTTCAAAATTTAAAATTACTTTTGATGAACTTCCTAATACCAAAAAATTTTATGTATTATGCAGAAAAGAATGACGCACATCCTCAAGTTAGAAAATTACAGTTTTCATGTCTGTAATAATAGATATGTATACATCATTTTAAGTGTAACTATTTTGTTTTGACCTGTATAGAATGTCCATTAAAAACATTAGTCAAAGAAAAAAACTATGAATATCTCCATCATATTTTGACTAAATGACTGTTGTTTAACCAATTTTAAAAGAATGTTCATAGATCAAATTCATAAGAGAAATGTTGTCAAAAAAGAAAAATACTATTTTGAAATATCACAACTAACTACAGCAAAGAATCATAATCTTTGACGAGTTATGAAAAACCCAATGCTGCAATTTTTTCAATCAATTCTTGCTTTTTATGTCTGAAACTTTCAGAGTACACAAAGCAACAAGGCATGTATCTATCTGTAGTACAAATATGAGGTCCAATGAAGCAAGTATGGTGATTTAATCAAAAAAATTAAGGTGTCAGTTGTTTTTAGCTAAGGAAATAATTTTTGACAACATTTCTCTTATGGATTTAACTCTTTACTCCTGAATGTCATGTCTACCGATGTGGAAAATGGCACAGCTTTTGTAAAATAACATTAAATACGGAATTTTGAAACTTTATTAATGTTTCTGAAGGAAACTTAAGAACATTTCGTTTCATTCATTTGGATTCAAAATACAAATCTTCCTAAATTGATAGCTCTCGAAAATTTGAATTCTTAATAGAAATAGTTTGTTTTCTACAAGCGACATATAAATCAGAGACATTTTATTAAATTCATATCACTACACACGTTTAACTGTATAATAACTATGTGTCGGAAATTTCGTAATAACTTGGACAGTAAGGAACTGTACGCTTCAAGGGAATCATTTAACGATCATTGAGAGCATAGAAAAGGATCTTGAACAAAGCAAATCTGTGTTGTGTAAATCTAATCATATAAGAAGTTCACATAATATTTAATATAGAAGAAGTTCTTGTCTTTTTAAATATCTACTAAAAGTATATGTTTAGGAAATGATATTTTTTGCATACGCGCAATGTTGCATTTTTTTTTAAATTTCGTGTAAAACTCCTCTTTTGATTGATCTATCTATAGCATTTGCATATTGAGAAAAGTTTTAATTCATTTCTATAGCTATTTTATTAGTTGCTCATCTAAACTCATCATCAGGAGTAAAAGATTAATAAATTAACACTCCTTTACAAGTGGTAAAAATATCAGTCCAGTACTAATGACTCACTGTACACCAGTTATGCATTTATCAGTGAAGAAATGTCATGTTGTTTGTTCATCGTTCAAATACAATACTATATCTATTTAATGAACTCATTTATATTTGATCATATTTTTTTTCAGAGAAGAAACGTCATCTTTATCTAAATATTAATCAATATCTTAAAAAAAGTAACATATTTCATGTTGGATACTTGTTTAATCTTTCTAATACCATAGATTGAAAATACTTCTTAACATGAAATCATGACAAATTGTTGTTAATTCATATTCAACATTATTTGATATTAACTTTAACATCTGAAATAAAAAAAAAAACAAAAATGCACTTCATTGACGTCGCAGAATGAAAGCATGTTTTACTATGTACTACAGAAAAAGATAATAATATAATAGATCAAGTAAAATTTAAGATAATTTGTAACATATCATGATTTTTCATTATTAATGGTTATTAACGAGCAACTACCGCTATATATAAAGCTTTTGAAATCGTAGAACATTCATATTTATAATATTTTCTCACTCGCATACTAAAGATGCATTTCTTTTATAATAACTCTGGCAAACACTTATAGTGTGCTATTATTTATCCAATGCTTCAACAATAGAAGAGAAGTGAATAAAATATTACTGGTAAATACAATAGATTTCTCGCGATATTTGAATTCTACAATCAATTAGATCCGCAAGCATTGGTATGTATAATAGTAGGATTTTCTTTTTTCAATCATCATACGATTAATCACTGATAAATTGAATCATTCAATATAGGTAAGTAATCACATGTGACATTGCCTTTCGTGTCTATATTGAAAAATACAATAGCTTTGTTGATTCAGCATATCACTTAAATTATGTATTTTAATTCGAAATGTATTTTTCTGTAGTGAGAGCAAGTGCTTATTGAATGAAGATTAGACGTCATTAAATATATCTGAGAGATAATTACAAAATTAATTGTTAAACCCTTTTAATCAGTATTTATATATTTAATATGACTTTCACATTTACTGAATGCAATTTTCTAAGTGTTTCCATTCTTGTAAATTTTAATAACAAGACACGTAGAACTTCTGAGAAATCGAAACACATCTTTTCTGTTTACAGAACTCGTAATTCTCTCCAAAATACTGAAAATAATAGAGTAGACAGTTGTTTACAAATTTCTTGATCTTTCAAAATTAAAACCCATGTATTTTAAATAACTTGAATTCGATTTTGATAGATCAACTATGAGATATAAGTTTTCACTGATGAAGAATTTCAAGACATTTGCAGTAATTTTCCTTGAAAATATGCTTCGAAATAAAATACAGTTTTTCTTCATTTATTGAGAACAATTGTTTATGAAAATTGTTTATATAAGAATTCTCTATATCAAAAACTTTAGTTAAACTTTATTCTAATGCTTTTTTAGGTCAATGATTTCGTAAATATTCATTTTAGACCATAGTTGTTTATTACAGAACATTTTTCAATTCAATTCTAAGAAATCTGATCAAATGGTATCAGCAGAACAAACTGTGGCCATAGTCAATTGGTGTTCACTTTATATATCTATTATGATTTTTTTATTAATTTTTTTTTTGGCATATAAATGTCGTCAAGATTTAAAAGATATATCCTTTTTGTTAACATGCAGTACAAGCTTATGTGCATTATTAGTATGTGCTACATTGTGTGTAATGATTGGCTCAAACTTATTTGATGGATTTTTAATTAGAAATATGACATTTTGTTATGCGATGGGTTTATTGTATGATATATTTGAATGTGCAATGTATTATAGTTATTGCATACAAGCATTCTATCGCCTATGCCGAATAGTTTTCTATAAGAAGAAATATCTAGTGGCTCACTCTTTATATATTGTATTGATTGTTGGTCAATGGATATTGGTATTTGGTTTACTTTTATCACCGATTTTGATGAACTGGTATATTCGATTACCAACCGAACGATATTGTCTTATTCCTTATTCAAATATTGCTGCTGAAATATATCATATTATGTTTTTATATATTATTCCTGTACTGTGTATTGGAATATCATATGGATGGATAACTATATTCATGCGTCAAAAAAGTCAAACATCATTGGTTGTAGCTGCAGTTAACCGGCGACATCGAAATGAAAGAGATTTAGTAATTATTAAACGTATTATATTGTTAATATTCATATTAGTTTTATTACGTTTTCCAACAATCGGTTTAATGATATATGGAGTTATGGCTCAAGAGTTATATCCATTAACATATGGAATAATTGGCATTTTTACAGCAGTGTGTTTAGGATCGATTGGAATTTCAACTATATATGTAACACCACAATTACGAAAACAATTTCACAATACTTTTATTCATCTAAATAATCGCGTACACATTGACCAGACGCCAATGAATCAAACAGGTCCTACAACAGCAACAATTGAGACTATTCAAGTGACTAAAAAAAGCCAACAGAGAGATGCTACATCAGTACTACAAAACAATTAATAAACTTTTATCCTTTGGTCATAAATAAATTTACAGCTTTTCTGTAAAGTATAGAACACATCATAACCTTCGGAGATTGAGTTCGTTATGTTCGGGTGTGCGTGTGAAGTATGCATACATCCATACTGGGTGTGAGTGTGCGGATGTGTGGGTGGGTGTGAGTATGGATCTAGATATGGGTGTGGGTGTCAGCAAATAGAAGATCCGCCCATACCCACATTCACACCCACACCCATTTTATGTGATGCTTAAACATTTTGTGAGACTGTACTGGAGCATTTGAATATAACAACGATACTTCGACTTTTACTGTATTAATTACGATATACTATTCTCAAACTCTTTATAATTGCTGATAAAAAGGTTGTTGAGAAATGTACAGTTAAATGATGTAAATGTGATAAAATAAGTAATATGGACACATGAATAGAAAAAGGCTTATGAAGGAAAAAAAATGAAAACTTGATCTTTTCTAATTAGATATGTTGAAGACGATTCAGGAGAAGACACACTCAGGTATATTATCTTACCACTTCGCTTCAACTTCTTCGGTTTCTACTAGGGTGTGGGTGTGAGTGTGCGGGTGTGGGTGTGGGTCCCCATATGGGTGTTGGTGTGGGTATACAGAATCAATAGCAGCGGCACCCACTCCCACGCTCACCCACACCCTATTAAAGAGGTTTCGAATAAATTATAATTTAGAGTGACCCGCCCCCAACGTTTATAATCACACATGCTAATGTCAGAAGTCCTATTATAATGGTCATATTATGTATAGTGGGGGACCAGTAGGACTCTATCGATCTATAACTACTAATGAATTTTTTTTATTTGTCATTATCATTTTGTAGCACTATTAAAAGGCTTTCGAATGATAGGTAAATTGGCCTCGGGGCCTAACTCCATTGCCCACAATAGGGAACTGACTTCGATAAATGATAACGTCTTAAATAGGTATATGACCATAAAGGATAAGTAGGATCGTAGCCAATCAAATCTCATCCTATCGATCTAATTTCTCTAGTGACAAATTTCTAAGACCTAATGTGACTATTTTGTAAGAAAAAATTGAGAATTTTCGAGGAGCCGATTTCATTGCTTATCGACCCCCATCCTTTATACCCTGTTCATCAAATTACAGCCATGTTCGATATCATAATTGTCATTGGTTAGTTTTCACTACATTTTATTGCTTGAATCTGTTCTTTGATTTCATTAGATTCATCAGTCCAATCATTTCTTTCACATATTTCAAGAGCTAGGGTATAATAGTTCAATGCTGCATCCAAGTTATCTTGAAATATATTGATGTCGACTAATGCTCGGTAGATATCCACAATGTCTCCATCTTCTAGTGTCTCATTTTCTAAATCCATATCTAATGCTTTTTGAAGATGATACTTAGCTGATGATATATCGTCATAATTATTCCAATCATCTCTTTTCAAATATGAATATCCGGTATAGACATGAGCTCTAATAGCTTTCAATGGATGTAATGAATTACAGTCTATTGTTTCATGATAAAAGTCAATTGCTTGATCGTAACTTTTCAATCGATAGTACGATTCCGCAATCAAATAATGAAGTTCAGCAATTTCTTTATGTTCTAAAGGAAGAATCTTTTTTCTTAAAGTTAAACTTCTTTTGTAATAATAAATTGATGATTCGAAATCCTTGCGTGAGAATTTTTTCGAACCCATAGCATGAAAATATTCTAATTCAATTAACTCATCAGACGAAAATAACTTCATCATATAATTATAAAGTTGATCCAGGTCTGAACATTCACGAACAATAGTATTGTCCCCCATATTATTGAATAATTCTCTGGCGGTATCACGATCACCTTTAAATATGTTTTTCTTATGAGATCCTTTATGTATTTCTTCATCATCGCATAGTCTTAATTTTATAATATACAATTGATTCAATTCCTCGAATTCAGTTGATTTGACAGCAAAAGCGACACCAGGCATGAATAAAACTTCTTGTTCTTCTTCAAAATTACTGTCGCTTCTTACTTCAGCAAACGGACGACTTGTCAAATTCGAATTACATTCAATTTCAAAGAGAACACCTCGAAGATCATCTTTCGGCTGGAATCCTTCAATAAAAATGGAAGCAACATTACGATTGAGAGTTGTTGATAACAGAGGATTTATTGATAATCTAAGATCCAATTTGTTTGCCTCCTTTATTCGTTCGATTTCTCTCTTATTAATTATCTGTCCTCGGTAGACGTGTATCGATGAGTTTGTTTCTTTGAATAATAGGTGACTATGTTCAATTTGTTCGTACAAATCTCGAATGAAAAAATGAAATGCACATATAATTTCAATACTTCGTTCTCTCAATGCTCTGTTAAGTACACGGTAGATGAATGTGTCTTTTGTGTACCACCAAACAGCCTTTGACGGATCATATGTATAAGCAAATTCTTTCAATAGTTGTTCATTGCTTGAATTATCTTTGTAATACAGGCTAAATATATTAATGAAGTGTTCTTTACTATTAGCAGGTGGCTCTTGACGAATTAAAACGAATAGTAGTTTAATTAACCAGAGATCGTTGCGTAGTCTATTCATTGTGAAAGGTTGATTGTTTGGATTGAACAATTCTGGCATTATTCGTTCTTGTTTGAGAAAATTTGTTACTGTATTTGTCAAATCTGTTTTTAGGAGTTCGAAATTATTGTAGACTCCTCGAACCTATCCAAATTGAAAAAAGTTCTTCTATTTTTCTACGTAATTCAACATCTGTTACTAACCTTTGAATATTCTTTCATCCATCGTTCAGATGACGTTTTGGTTTGGTCAAAGATAAAAACAGAATTCAGTTCATGTAGACTGTGAATGTTGGGGATTAGTTTTTCTTCATATTGATCTGATACAATCAAAAAAACTAATTCTCTATTATTCGTTATCTGTTTTATACATGAGTCAATATTGTCTATTAGACGTACGTAATCAATTATTGACCGTAGTTTCATGTGCATTTGATGAGCATACATAGAGGTGCCAAACCATATTAGAGTATGAGTATCTAAATTTTGAGTTCGCGTGAAAGCTGTTGGCTTTGATGGTGTATCGTTCTGGTTATGGAAAGCCATTGCTACATTCCGTGATTCTTCTTTAGTGTTATTTTGATTCATGGGACAACACTTCTTAATATACGAATTGTGTTTCTCTTCGCAATTCCGAATGCAAATTGTCTGTTGAGAAAAAGTAATAAATCTGTTTCTTTGTTTGAATGAATACAAACGACTTTCATGACTGATGAGAGATGTGTAGGTGAATAAGTCAGCTTACTTATCAGTTTTAAAGAATGATTCATTTGCCTGATAGACGAAAAAAATCTTTTAGACAATAAGGTATGAATGACGGTAGTTAGAGACTAGGGGAGTCTCTTTTCTTCGTTTTTTCACTCAGATTACAATTGAGATGGCGAGGATGTGTACGACCAAAAATGAGAGTGAGCTTAATTACAAGAAAAAGCAAAGAATTGAAATTTGTCGAATTATCTCATCTATTCATTACAAATGTACATCATTTTCGAAGGAATTCATCCACAGTGGATGCACCTTAACAACACGAACGACTTGTCGAGCAAGGATTACAAAATCAGAACAGAAGTCGAACCCATATCGCCCGATAATCGATCAGCTGTTCTACCGTCAAACTACCTGATTTTCTCCCTAGTCTTAAATAAGACTACATATTTGACATTTAATCGAAGAAGATACATGTCAGACAATAGTGATTAAGCTTTGGGATTTTCATTGTACTCGAGTGATTCCCGTTTTGCTCTCTGAGTTTCAATTCTACTCACAGGAATTTGGAATCTTGGGGATCTGCCGTATCTCCCTTGTGAAGAACAGTCAAGTCCGCTAATCGAAAGCATTTAACAGGTGTTTCTACTGATGATAACATTTGTTTTAAAAATGTTCGATAGTGTCATCACTGTTTAGTTTACTGCTTCCTCTAAATCAAGATTTCTTCAGCAAAATTCCGAAATCATTCCGGAAAAAAATCTCCACATGCATATATTATTTTTCTTTCATTCTATAACGAATAAACATTTGATCATAGTAGTTGCTCGACGTACATTACCCTGATTTCAATAGAGAGAGTCAATTTCTTTTTTTTCGCGTTCTGTTTCTTCTGTCTTATTTATTGACTTTGTCTCAAATGCGAGGCTTTTTACGTCTTATTTTGAGGGTAAGAGTGAGCCATGCTATAAACAGCGAAATAAGACACTATAAAATCTTTACTTTGAAAGAAATTGACGTGTAAGCAAAGTAAGATTGTATTGTTGTGAGATGACGTGCCAAAAATGCAACGAAAAATAATCTGAAAAACAAAGCCAAGTCGACAGTATATGATACAGATGTCTATCACGGGGTGGCAGCAGCAGATTTTCAGCCGCGGTTCAAATCTCTGATGTACGATCGTTTACGCCTTCTGTATGCATCGTTCTGGGAGACAGAAGAATATTAAGTGTTGACAGAACTTCTTTTAGTGTATGTGATCACATTTCGTTCTGCATGAGTCATAAACGTAACTATACGTTTGTTTCCTTCGTTTGTGTTCGAGAAGAAAAGGAGCTGTTCTTATCTTTTGTCAGTACAATGCGCATGGATTAAAAAAAAAGAACATTTATAAGATTATGCATCACGTTAACATTCTTTTTTTTTCAAATATATCAGTTTCATGCATGATATTTTAAGATTATACTGTCTCATCAATCCAAGTGATGTCTTCGCGAGGTAATAGTAAGAATGAAAATAACACTACTAATGATACAAATGTATCAGTTGTTCTACGACATACCACTGAATTGGATGAGGCAATCGTCGATTCTGAGCAGCTATAACGAGAATTCTAAAGAAAAATAATAATACAGATAAACATAGTGCAGGTAGTGAAGCTGCCTCTATTATAAATGAATCAAATTTATTTTCATCTAATTCAAATAAGAATCACACTCAACTAAACGTGAAAAGTACTGTTACGATAATCGATCCCCAAACTAAAATCGACCCCTACAATTATCGATCAGTTGAAGACACTTATATTCCTTCAATTCAAAGTACTCAATTAAATAAACAAGATGAAATAACTTCAATTTCCTATTGTGAAAGGTTTTTAAACATTATGAAGGAGAACGGTCTTGTCTGTCGGCCTGTTCGCGGTGAAGATGGTAAGGTTGTTCTTCGTATTGATGGTCCTGAATTAGAACTAATTATTTGTACCGGTGTTGCAGAGCAAGATGGATCATTCGGAAACTGTAAATGTAATAAATATTATCCTCCACAATTTCTACTATTCGGCAGTTTATGTCATTTTTGTGATCATTTGATTCGTTTTCATCGATTGAAACCTGAACTAGAACCAATTGTATTCGATGATACCAAAAGCTAATCTAAACGAAATGAATATAAATATTGGTTTGATAAGTTTATTGAATTACAACGATTATATTGTTCTACAAAAAAAATTTACCGTTTGATGATAATCTATTTATTAAGATTTATGATAAATCAAGACAAGCATCATTAAGTTTTATTCACAGTCTTAATCAAGTATCTTTATGATAGCGTATAAGACGAAGGAGAAAGTTTATTTGAAGCGAGATATCAAGTTATTAATTTACAAACAATGCTACCAGTCAAAACAGACGAAAAATTACAGTATTCATGGTCTTATTTTCGAGATGGCACTCAAATGGAATATGGCTTTCGAACTATTTTATGAGATTTAAATCAACCAGCAACATTAATTGCAATAGGTGCTAACAGTGAAGGTCTGATTAATGACAGTTCAAATCAATCTTTTATTGAAAGAATTGTAAACATTGAATTTCCAAGTATCAATTAGAAATAAGAGACAATATTTTTAAAGCGATTTAACATTCTGTCATTCATGACATATAACAGACATTTTTGTCAATACAAATACAAGCATTGATTAAACATTGTAGCATTTGAATATGTTAACGCTTTTGTTTTTTCTTTTATTGCTTTCTCAAAGTCAAGATTTCTTTAGCAAATTCTGAAATTGTTCCGAAAAAATGTGTCGACAAAAGAATAAGCGACCATGACCGGTTTCGACCTTGCTTAAAAGTCTCATCAGATGGCATAACTCAAATTCATCATCGTAAATGACGATGAAACTGTAAATCAATCCCTATAAAATAGAGGAGATACAGTGTTAATATGTACGACTACATTAAGAACATGCCATCTGATGGGTCTCTTGTGCAAGGCCGAAACTGGTGTGGATGTGGGTGTGGGTATGGGCGTGGATGCGGATGTGTGAACAGATGACCAACACCCACACCCACACCCTCAAGATAGCCACATCCACACCCCACCGACACCCACACCCATATCCACACCCACACCCACACCCCACATCCATACCCACACCCACCACACTCACACCCTGTGGGTGTAAGCGGATATGGGTGAGAATGGAGTTATCTGTAGAGATTATATCCACTCACATCCACCCACACCTAACAGAAATTTTTATGTCCAGCGTAGGAACACTATATGAAAGATAATTGAGCGTCTTTTTTCCCCGATAAAACAGCTACCCAGCGTGGTAGAAAAAACACCGAAATGTCACTCGAAAAAGCAGCACTTGAAATCAAACGTAAGTCAAACAGAATGAGTAAAAATGTTTTCACCGATTTTCCTGTTTACACTGCTATTGCGCATATTAAAAAAAAGAAAGAAATATATGAAAGAATAAACTATTAAAAATGATTTATTGCATATTTCAGTCAGATTTCTGACAAGATATATCACTGAAACTTATAGAATGAAGCTATGAAAGGTTTTTCTGTGAATCTCAGAAACATGAATTTATTGATTAAAGGCAATCAACACAATGTAATTAAGATAGTCTTTGACGTTTTCTATATTTGACTTGTTTCCAAGTAGTGACTGTGCATGTACGATTTGGTTTGGGTATTAGAATAAAAGAGTAGTTCACATTCACATCTACAAAATTAAATAGATTTATTTGTACCAATACATTCACAAGCAACCGTTTTTAAGATTTCATTCATAAAAAAAACTGAAACATTTAGAATGATTATATATAAGTGCTGTCTTTCTTCAAGATGATGCTAACAGAATGTATCATGTCTTGATTGATTATGTTTTCTATTGATAAATAATAAATTTTTCGGGATATTTTGATAGAGTAAAGTTTTTAAATAGTCAATCAAAATTTTACACCCAAAGTGTCAGAGAATCAGTCTCAAACAATGCACTGATAAAGAAGCTTGTGTATATATAAGATCTAGTTTAATTTTTTTTTATTAAGTTTCTCAATTAATATTTGTTGTCTACGATAACTTGTACATAGAAATCTCAAATCATTGATTAAAGAAACAATAGATATGGTTTAAGTATTGGTAAATGACGAATTACTATATTTGGAAACCCATTAGACACTCTTGAATGAGTCCGAGTGCTGTATGAACGAAGAGGAAATTTTATGCACAGATCTACATATACATTTCACATCTACACTGATAGTAACACTCATTCACATCCAAAAATAAACTTTCAAGTGGTAAACAAATAAAACAATAAAGAAAGAAAAATAAGTAAGAAAAAACCAACGTGGACTCTCATTTCTCTCGCGCAGAAGTAAAATTTCAAGGATCACGTAAACTCTCCCGTCATACAACAACTATGGCTCAGCGTTTGACCAAAGATGAATGTAGAAAAGTACGTCTAATCATGAATTTCTTTATTCAAGTTATCGAAAAAAACATATTCTATTAAATATAGTTATTTCGACAATTTGATAATGGTAATGGAATATTATCATTGGCTGAAATTGATCGAGCTATTGTATTTTGGCATCCTGAATTTGGTACTAATCGTCAAGCAATGATCCGTGCTTTTAAGGCAGCTGATACTAATGGCGTATGTCTTATATTTTAATCATTCGCTTTGTTTTCGATAAAATTTATCTTTTATTTGCAGAGTGGATTCGTTGAATTTAAAGAATTTCATCGTTTTCTTGACTTATTATATTATTATAATCAATTAAGCAATCTATTTAGACAGTTAGATACAAATAAAGATAAAAGAATAAGTTTTAATGAATTTAAACAAGGGCATGAATTAATTGGTTATTCGAGTACAGATGAAAATAGTCTGAGGCAAGAATTCAATCGTATTGATACTAATCATGGTGGATATATTTTATTTGATGAGGTTTGTTTATACCTTATTTGTAGTATATCTTGTTTTTATGATTTTATTTATTTTTTAGTTTTGTATATACATGGCAAAGAAAAAATTGCAGTGAAATGAATCGATGTATGTTGTGAGAAACGAAATTGTTCTCTTTTGTTGTTTACAACTTTTGCAAATTTTTGTCATTGATGTATTTTTTTCGTATAAGAGATCATAAATTATACAAGTAAATAATAATCATTTATACTCGACGTTTTATCTTTCTTTCTTATTGAGGATGTGGATATAGGGTGTGGATGTCTATTGTTTAGTCTTCCATACGCAGTTACATCCACATTTTTTTCTCAGAATAAAAGAGGCTCATACAGAATCGAATTAGCACGTAACAAGTATAGAATCTACACATACGATTACTCATATAGATAGAGCGTGCAAGTAAATCATGTTATCAATAAGAACAAAAACAAATAAGAGTTGTTTACCATTCGGAATTTTTCTTTGGCGATGCAACATATCTGCTATCTATTGGAATATATCTTATTACGTATTTCTTTATTCTCATGCTTAGTTTCTCCTTTATAAAAAAAAAAAACTTAAAGTCTATAAGTTACTTATTTGAACAAAACAGATAATGCATTTCTCTCTCTACTTTATCTGATCTTCTTCAAACATAGCAGTGACTTTGTCTACTTTTAATTCTTATTTCTGACTCACTAATGAAGATCTTCTTTAAAGTTGAATAATTTATATTAGGATAAAGAATTTGCGAAAAACAATTTACAAGAATATGATTTAATCAATAATTTCAAGTAAAACGTTGTTTTCTATCATTTCCATCAACTATGTCAAAGATGAATAGGCCAAATTCATTCCCAATATACCAGCCAAATTACTTATGGCAATCATCATAAAAAATTGTTGTAATTGTTTAGCTTCATCCAGTGTTAAGATATGTGGTACTTCTTGTATTGATTTTTTCGATGATTCAAAGAGACCCTCCAAATAACTCTTCGAAGTTTGAATCAATAACACATCGGGTGCCAATTGCCAATCGGCATTGACATCAACAATACAAAATGAAGCCGTGTTTGTTATACTATCTCCATTTTTAAATAATGTAAATGAACGATATTTCCCCATCCATGCTCGATGAATAAAGATATTCGATATTATCCCATGAAAAGTCATTTGAATAGGTTAAACCAAGCAAAAAAAACTACCTTTTAATGGTAAATTATAATCGATAATAATAGCATTGCTAAATTCTGATGCTTTCTTAGCTGGTATATCGATAGCTTTTAATACAGTTGATCTTTGATCGAAGTGTGTAGAACCTAATCGAATAATTCTTGTGATAGGAGTTGATTTACTTGTTTTAAATGAATCGACAATATCTTTCCATGAATTGGCTGCAGATGAAAGAGCTTGTGATAAAACAACGATTTTAGCAGGTAAATATCGTGATTCAGATTCATTACCATTCTTTTGTTTGTCTTTCAGTGAAATGATTCTAGGATCGAAATATGACAATAGACGATACCGTTTTCGATTAAATACACTGCCACCAATGAAACGTAAAATATTCAATACAATATGGGTTGTTGTCAATTTCCATGACGTAATTATTTTCAAGATTTGTTTATTCAAAAATTGGCCATTATCTGTCAATATTGTTGTATGTGAAATATCTAATTGATTATTCAAATTTTCTTTGCTTCAAGCTGTGCTATTGTTTGTGTTGTTGAATATTAACGTTTGAATAAGTGCTCGTGAAGAGATATTTACGTAAACAAATTGAATGCTATAGGTTGTATTATCATGAACAGTAGAAGATTTTATAAACAGATTTTCATTGGAAAATTGAGATGATTATAATTGTTGTAAAAATTGTGAACTCGACGAAAAATCCTCGAATTCATAGTCTTCCGATAAGGCTTTTAACAAATTGAAAATTTGTTTATGTTCAACTTTCGTTATTTTTAATGCTTGACTTGATGGCTTCAATGATGTGAAATTAGATTGTAATGCAGGGTGTGAGTATGGGTGGGTGTGCACGAATAGAAGACTCACATTCACACCCACACCCTACTTTGAATAATGCCATCTGATGAGACCTTTAAACAAGATCCAAATCAGTCATGGGGCTGCTTATTCTCAATAAAGATTTCTTTTGAAGAAATATTTCTATTGTGAAGTTAGCTACTATTTATTGATACATATCCTTTTTTTTATTTCTGTTTCTGTTGACAAGAAATAACCATGAGTATCGTTCATTTATCGTTTCAATATTATTCTTTTCTTCATAAAATAGAATAAGGCACAACATGAAAGAGAGGAAAAAAGACTGAAAAGTATGAGGAACAAAATAAAAAGATAAGTCAGCAATGTTTATGCTAACAAGCTAATGTTTTAAAAGAGAGATAAAATTAATCATAGAAATGAGTAAGCAAATGATATCAATACGTTTGATATGTATAGATTTTCAAAAAAAAAAGTAATATATAAATAAAGCTCGTTACATTTTCAGTCATCAAATGATAAAATTATGAGATAAGAACTACATTTATTAGACAAAAAAAGAAATTCCGCATCAAAAATAAAATTAGACTTCTGTGCCATAATTTGAAATGTTGAATTGATTTTCTGTTAGAAAATGATGGTAAACTTATTGCCACCAAGTATGAATTCAGGCTTTTAAAGACATACCTAGTCATTGATTGTAGCTGTTGACGATGAAAAAATAAATATTGAACCTTATACTTTTTTTTTTCGTATCATATACACATACTTTAGACCAGAGAGAAATTTTCCCTTCTATAACATATCACTGTAGTATGAAACAGGAGAAGGGATACGATATAAATGTTAACATATGAAAATGCTTTTGGCTGGTTTGTCACGCGTTGAGGATATACTTCATACAATATAATAGTTTATATGAAATACCATTTCGTATTGATATATATATATTGTATTAAATAAAATTACGGATGCGTAGTGAAGAAAAACGAAAAATTTTCTTTAAAAAAATAGATTATTAACAGATAGAATAAAAACATTGAGGTCGTCGAATGTATTGAAATGGATAGCAATGAAGACGAGGATGTGAATGATTCAAATTCTTTTGCACAGAACTTAAGAGCAATAGATGGCCATGTGTTATTTCCTGTTAAATTCCCTCCAGGATTTTGAAACGAACAAGCTTGTGGCCATGATCTTACGACGTTAAATAGAGTATCACCAGGACTAAATAAAAAAAAATTTATCTAAATGATATTTATACTCATGATGAGTTCTTGTACTCTTGAAAATCGCTTTTAGTGCGAATTGTATGTAGCAGATAGGTAATAATCAGCTATTAAAAAATTCAAAGCATGAAGTGTATCTAAACTTTATGTACGGAGTTATAGTCGTTCTAGTTAGATTTCGTTTTACTGACTGTAACTTACAAAGAAATTAAATACTGACATTTTGTTCGTGGAAAAATCTATTTGCAACAAGAATTTCTCTAATCTCTTCATATTGCACAACAAGTGAAGACTCAAAAGTTTGATATGTCTCGAAATTGACTATCTCACAGGACGAGCATTCTTTTATTGTTTTCTTTCGTACATCTAATGTGTTAAACTAAAGCTTAAGGAAAACGACTATAGCTCATTATTGAAAGCTACTTTGACATTTTACTCGTTTTAAGCTTTCTAATTTGTCATTGATTTACGTACCTTATATAAGACGCTCGAACTCAAAAGCGATTTTCAACTACGAAAAATATCATTCCGAAAAAAAAAGAAAAAATGCTACCATGTGGTATAGCCTGGTCGTTGTGATTGCCGATGAGTAATAACATAAAAATCTTTTGTGACATAACGTCGTTCAATACCACATTTAATCCATGAATGTGCAGCTTTTAGTGCTTTTTCATTTGGACTTGATATATTGAAATTACCAATGAAACAAATACCTTTTTTAATATGAAAAATACAGTTTTGAAAAAATTATATAGGATTTTTTCACCGTATGCATCATTATTCCATCCGGGTGAATGAGCAGCTTGACGATCCCATCCTCGACCTTCATAAACTTTACCATTTTCACCAACTAGAAAATGATAACCAATATCTACCCAACCTTGCGTATTTTGATGAAAAATTTGAATCTCTTTCACTCGTTCAATACATGATTCATCATCATAACAACTATGAATAATAAAATAACTATGTTGCGTTATCTTATAATGGAATTTATCTACCTTGGAGGGTCCTCAGCATGATGAATAACAAAGAATGAAAGAGGTTTGGATGTTAGATTTGTTATTGAAGTTGGTTCTCGTGCACCCCATCCAATTCGAGTAACAAATGATATTTCATCACAAGCTGAGTGACTATGAGCAACAGTAATAAATAGTAGATAAACTAATACTATGCTTTTCATACGTTCGTAAAGTAAACTTTCGATGATAAAATGTCGCATACAAAATATATTTAAAGTGGTTTATCTTTTTCATTCTTATCAATGTTTGAATATAAAAGAAAAGAGAATCTTTTCTTGAATTTTTTTCTTGTATTTGTCAGTTTTACTTTATCTAGAAGTAACTATCAAGTATGCACGTGTAGAAGTAAAATAGTTGAATCTAATAGATTAGCTTTGACAAAAACAAGATATAAGAATGAAAGTTAATGACAGTTGTCACTCATTGTATGTTTTTGATGAACACTCTTTGATTCAAGATGATAAAAAAAAAATAATTTATCGTAAAGAAAGAATGTTAATTTCGAGTTTTTGCTAAAAAGATTGTGGATGTGATCTGACCTAAAAATTGAGTCTATTGTAATTTTAAATTACTAGTACCTTAGATTCATTTTAAAAAAGTTTTACAAGAATTAATAGTACAATCAAACACTCTTCATTGGTTGATCAGCCATTTTATATTACCTACGGCCTACGATACTCAAACGAACTTACTCCAATTGGATCGGGACCACATTGGCTAGAAGTACATCAACATCTAAGTTTTCTGTAACCAATTTCAAATCAATTGCTCAAATTTATTTTCAGATATTCAACTTTCAACGTCATCATTAGTGTTCTAGCTTTTGATTTCCTTTTGACTTGGCTTTGACTAAAAATCTCTTTCGTTTGGAAATAAAAATAACTGCATTTTCAATGACAGTGTCTTTAGATTGGTGTGAGTGTGGGTGAGGATGTTGGAAGAGACCATTAGAACATCGACACCCACACCCAGATGTATCCTTCATCACTTTTTGACAGGTTTCATTCATTTTTCTTTTGGTTCCTCTTACCTCGTGAATGTGAATTAGTTGTACAAATCGGATATAATTATGTTCTAGACTTACATAGCTGTCTCCGTGCTAATCACAAAATAAATATCAACAATGGAAAGCAAATACTGTTGGATGATCAGTGGATACATATGGTTTTAGTCAACATTGAATCACGAACTAGCTATTGCATATCAATCAATGGACAAGATTTGAAAAACTTCGATCTACATCGAACGTGGAATATACATACTACGAGCAGTTCCTCTTCCAATGCGATTTTAGCTGAGTTGCAAACTGAATAGTTATTCAAAGCAATCATCGACTGAAGTTCGTATCGCCAATCTTGTTGCTTTCAATATATTAAAAACAAGAAAATACATCACAGCAAGACAGATCATGTTTGTAAATTTATTTATTCTTAAACTAGATGGATTGTCTTATTGTGTTTCATATGCTCTGTCATTTTAAGATATTGTTTCTGATATAATGACAGAAGAATAAATAGAATATCTATATTTTGAATTATTATCTAGTTGCGTTCAAGAAAGAAGAATAGATGATCAAATCTCTCTTGTAGAAGATTTCACAGAACTTGATTTTTACAGCCCAGTTAAATAATAATTTACAGTAGTTTGAATTGATAGAAGTTTAATCATGAAAAACTTTGCCAAAATGTTCTTCTGAAGGTATTAAATGTCTTTCAGTTATTGATTAGATAAAATTCGATTTCAAATTCATGTGCTGATTTTTAACCAGTATTAATCCTCAAACATTGCTCTAAAGTCCATGTAAACTCCGATCATTTCGTTTTGATATTGCACAATACAGAATTGATGATTACAATTCTTTTCATCAGATACTATCTTAGGAATAGTTCTTCTTGAAAAATGTTCATTTCCAAAGTCGATCGTCGCTGAGAACTGAGTGTGAAAAATTTGATAGAGAGAGAACAATGTGTCAAGTGAAAATCTGTAATTTCATTTGTCTCTTCTTTTTGAAGATAGTCGAACAATTGAATAGAAGATAATAAGAACAAGCAATTGATGCGTCACTTCGAATAGTGAACAAACGAATTCTTCTTGAACAAGATCAGACTTGACAAAGACAAGGAAAAAAAAACATTACATCTTTTTGAAATCAATTCGAAAACAAAAGAGATTCTTCGATTTACAATCATTTGAAATTCGATTGTCTCTCTAATTAGAATCGATCAATTACATTTTGTCTTATTCTACTCAATCAGATATTCTTTTCATTTCTCCGAGTTTCACTCAAAGATTCGCCAATGATCGAATCGTTCTCCACATTCAATATCAGATAATCGACAATGTCTTCACTTTCAATAAAAGAATGCATTTCCGTGAGTATATCCTTCGTCGATCATTGAGAAAGAGTTGATTTTTGTTTCGATTCAATCAATTTTATTCTCACCAAATTAAGTGGAGAGTTTCAAGTGATCATCGAATCACTTGAAGAGCGTTTGTTGCACTCGAAGCAAGCGCTTTGCCAGAATATCCACGATTTTTAATTGAAAGCAACTTATTCGCACTCATATCAAAACCAGAATAGACTGAGATTGAATTTGAATTGATAAAAAAACCATCATCAAAAAAATTTTGCTCAATGCTTTTCTTTTTCTATTCGAGAATGAAGGACACAAATGTATTAATCATTCTACATCCATAATGAATCACCGACTTTATTCCGCTTGTCGTCTTGATACTTGACATTCAACACTCGAAGACTCTTCATTCAATTGATAAGATGCAGATTTACTTTTTCAATCTTCAACTCGAATATGAAACACTTCAATTTTATTTTCACCAATTAATCTTTGGTTTTTCTTCAAAAGTAACATAAAAAGAAAGAAAAATGGTTACATTTGCAATTTGGCACATTGACTTGTTCAATATCTGTGACATTTTCATAACAATAAGTTTCCAAAAAGAAAATTTTCTCAGCGTTAAAAGGAGACTGAGAAAAGAAACAACTATTGTTCAATAATAACGACGGGATGACGCTGAATTGATCTCGGAAAAAATGAGAAAAATGATCTTGTTTTTTTCCGAGTTCAAATTTATAAGAAAAGATCTCGATTCGATACAATAACATAGAAAAGCGAAGTATAGTCTCTTAGTATATTTATATACTAATAAACAGGATCCTATATGACAAAGAAACACATTATTAATGTTTTATTTATTAATATCTGATAAAAATAATGTAAGATAAAGGTACACAACAAATCATAGTTCTTTGACAGCACGTCTTTCACTTTTTTGTTTATCCTTTACCGTTTCTTTTTTCACTTAACTATGAAATTGTTCGAGGTTCCCGTATCATCATAAGATATATTGTAGGAATACACGAATATCGTTTTAGACTATATTTACACGAATAGAGTATTGAAGGTAACATGAAAAATTTCAAATTCGTAAAAAGTCCAAACACTGTTTAAAATGATCATATAATAACGAAGACATAAAATAAAAATAATTTATCCAACAGCGAATAGTCATTTGAGGTTCAGCTATTTGAACTACAAATATTAAATACATTTAATTAGAATTATTTTGTTTCTATCAATTTTATAAATCCAATCATAAACTTTAATGTTTATTCATTCTGTTTATTCTATACACTCGTCTATGTAATCATATGCGCATATATATATATATGTAGAAAAACCGAGATTGTTTCCTGTAATTTTGTTACTTTAACGTTAATGAGCTTTTTCCAAGATCTTTTCCTATAAATTTGAACTCGGAGAAAAAAGCGAGATCATTTTCCTCATTTTTTCATAACGAAGAACACATGAAATGGTGATTGATTTTCCTAAAATGATTTGAATATTTGAAAACAAAATGAGAAAATTAACGGATTTACACATTAGCATATAGTGTAATTTATTCAAAATAAACGATCAATATGAAAATTTTCGAAAATCAATATCGATGTTTTTTCATGTTGGATAAACAAATAAAATTTCATTCAATTTCAAAAAATTTCTTCGAAAAAGAGTTCTACCAATGATTTCTCTTTCAAGAAATAATTCAATAATAAATAAAACATTGAAAATTATTTTACTAAGAATTTGTTAGTAGAAATTTTAAATAAATTGATTGTTTTCTTGATGATTATTCTTTGAATAAATAAATCAAAAAAACTGCAAACATTGTTTCTTTTTCATATCTATTCTACATCAAATTTTTATCAAAACAGAACAACAAATAATCTTTCTTCTTTAAAATTTTGTCCAATAAATAAAAAAAAAACCAATTCGAATTAAAGAAAAGACTTCTTAAATACTTTCATTAACTTTTCAATAACAAATTAATTGACTTTTTTTTTTGTTTCATTTCCGTTGATCTTTAGTGGCAATTTCATTGAAATAAAAGTGATTTATTTGAAAATTATTATTATCAATGGAATTGTTAAAAAAATAATCAATATTAATCTTACAACAATCAAACGAAGAGAAAATATCTTCGTAAGTCAGTTATTCAAATTGATCAACGATAAACAATTTGATATTTTATTTAAAGAAAAAAAAAAAAAGATTTTCTTTCTTCAATAACTTGAAGAATTTTTCATTGACTTGTCAAATTGATATTTGATCAAAATAAAAATTTTTCTTCTCAACGATAAAGAAAGAGAAATAAAAAATAATTTTGTCCATTGAAGAAGTTTCAAATCGATATTTTCTTTTAAATAAATTATTGTTAAAGTTAATTAAATTAAAAAAAAAATAATAAAATTTGACTGATAATGATTGAAAACGATCGATTTTTCAATTGTTCATCTTCAACAAAGATTTTTAGAAGATTTTAATAGAATAATTTCAATCATACAAGCGAATTAAATTCATAGAAAAAATCATTTTTTTCTTCATTAAGCTTTTCATCATTGTTTTGAGAAAAACAATGTAAAATTGAACATAGATTCTGATAAAAGAAAATCCAATGTTGAATTTTAATAAATAAATTAACAACATTCGAAACTTTTCAAATCTTTTTTTTCGATGAGAATAATCATTGACTGTCGTTCATTTATTGAAAATATTAAGGTATAGATTGACTTCGTTCATTGTTTTCAATGATTAAAGTTATCTGAATAGAAAACAATCTTCATCTTTATCATATAATTATCAGATGATTAACTAATTCGGATCATCTGGTTGAATTTTAATATTGAACATATTTCAAGAATAGAAAAAGTTTTCAATTTGAAAAGAATTTTGATTCATTTCCATATAATTAATATTTCTAGTTATAATTTCAAATTTTTTCCAATTTTGATGATAAAATGTTATATTATAGTGAAACAAAATGTTCGTCAAAGTGTTTTTATTTAATAAAAGAGATAGTTCTTCAACTTTTTTATATAAAATTTCGATCTTTGACAACATATGAATATGTAATAGAGAGATTAAGTCTCATTGATTGAATTTGGAAAGAGAAATTTAAAAAAAAATCATACACAATAGAAGGATTAATCTGATTGATTATATTCAAATATTTTGATTGGCATAATAAATGAAAGTATTCGTTCAAGAACAACAAAATTTAAATATTGCTTTATTTCTAATTGCTTTTGTTTACTCGATAGAGACATCAATTTGCTTCAAAATTAAAAAAAAATTGGTAAATCTTTTCTGTTTCTTTTTTCTCTTGTTCTACTGTAATTTCTCTTCCCTTCAATTTATTATTATTTGTCAAACAATATTATCCTTATTCTCATCTTCACCCTCAAGAGAAGAATATAGCCTATAAATTCACCTTATTTGAGTAACTAACATGTAGAGTAGTCAAGAAAATACTACAGGTCGCAAACACCCTTTCGGAATAGCGATATTTTCGACTTTTCATGCATACTACAAGAGATCTCACAGTTCACTTCTAAAGAGATATAGATCTCCCCAAGATACATCTTTTGACATAAAATTGTCTATATTAAAAATTTTTGAAACTAATTAGTATGGATCACATTGTAGTTTCCCCTACCTAATAATCATTCATCTTACTCCTGAATGTCATCTAGTTTTTTGTGAAATTAAAAACCTGACTTCAGATTCGTGTTCAATGTACGAACCTGGATCAGATAAGATATTTTAGAGTAATCTTTCATTCATACCAAGGATGGAGTGAGGATGAGGGTTCTTCCGAAACAAACGAACGTTCTGGTGAGGTTATAAGGCATGACTTTTTCATCATGGTAATACGATATCAGTTGATGCGTATGTATTCTTGTGTTATCTTACACTATAGCAGGCAACAACAACGAGAACAAGAAAAGAAAATATTGAGAATTGACAAAACCAGTCTTGTTTCATTGATTGAGTCATTTAATCTTTGCTCTTGAGATAATCTGTGCACGGAAAAAATTAAAAAATACCCAACAAAGTGATTTATGTAGTTCCTCGTGTACGTGAAATTCGAACTTGATGTTGCAAATCAATGTCATTGACATCAAAATGATCACTGCAAGATCCAAACATCTTTTCTATCTTATAAACAACGTGATCTATAGAACTAATGACATTTCAGATGAGTTTTCTACTTATTTTTATCTTTATTCTTTTTAACAATAAACTATTTACAACCAAATTTCGAGCATATGAGGCTTATGTCTATATTCATATGAACGTTTCATCCATGGTCGTCGAAGTGAAGACAAGGCGGACCATTCGGGTGCCAATTCTGATAAATTATACTTTCGTTCTTCAAACGCTGTATAGTATTGACAATGTAAGTTGAAATGAGTGAGCTTTGGAAATCGATCTAACATCTTTCCAATTCCGTGAATCAAATGACGAACATTGAGCCAAGAGCTTGGATGGGCATCAACCTTGAAAGTCAATTGTTTCAAGCAGGATGGTGATAATGAATGAGCGAAAAGATCGTCAATGATTCGAGTTAGATGGAGAAGCGAACAGTTGGCTTGTTGTCCCGTAAAATAGAGTATTTCAAGCTGTGCTCTCAATAATATTCCAAGTTCAACATTCAATGAAAGGATCCGACCAAAATCGAGATCTGAATTGATATGAAGTTCATGAAAGTATGGTGAGCGTTGAGCAATATGCAACAGATGAGGAATATTTCCTCCTACAATACCACTAAATTATTTAAAAAAGAACACCGTGTCATAACATTTCGTCCTTCTGAAGATCATAGAATTACTCACTTATCATCCGGAAAGTCTCCTTCAAGAATTATTTTTCGTAGGCAATGCCAACGAGATACTGCTTGTGTGTTCTTGATCAGTTCGTCTCCCATATAATCCATCTCGATGATTTCCATCTACAAAGCAATGAAGAGATTTGTTTAAGACATGAAACTTTTTCACATACTTCTTTGCAATTCTCGTCGATTGAGTCATCACTCACTAAATTGCTGCTTCTACTCGAATCGCTGCTTTCGTCTTCTTCGGAGACGGTTTCATTCATCTTTACTTGATTGAAAAGTGACATGTCGGGATAACAAATTGTTAAAGTTCTTGATTTACTCGATAAATCGCCTCCGATCACTTGTCTATACTCATTAAGAAAGGCATCTAGACTTTCTTCACATTCAGGTAGCCATCTCATTTCTACGTTCAATCGAAAGGTGAAAGTTTTTGACTTCGACAGCAATAACCATCGACGCAGTTCAGCTACACGAGGAACATCACTAACAATTATACCGGAGATCATGAATCCATAAATATTGAAATGTTCAAGTTGACTATGACATTGAAGATCTTCGAGAAAGGTGAACATCCATCCAACAGATTCGTGCAATTCAACACTGACGTAACGAAGTTCAGGTGCATAGACTTGTTTCAATGGTATTGGATGCATTATTTCTTCATTATGTGGATCATGTTCTCTACAAACAAATGAACAATTAGTTCATTCTCGAATACTCTTTTTAATCAATGTACTTACGCATGAAAAGAAACGTGTAGTCGATACAATTTTGGTAAATGACCATTGTCAAGAAGTTTGGCCAACATTTCTCGTGAACATTCGACAATCGTCAATGTATGCAACTTCAGATGAGTAACAATTCGAAGACCAGCTTGCTCAAGACCGAGAAGATAGTAGCTATTGTAAGTAGTGTGCATACGTACGTAAAGAGAGCGTAATTCAGGTAGTTCAGCAAGTATTGGAATGACAATTGCAAAATCAGCTACATTTTTGTATTGAGAATAATGAAAACAATCGTAACCGACATTGATGGAAAGTGAATAAATTCTAGATAAGAGAATCGTATCATACAGTAGTACTCCCAATAAGCCAAGTGGCACGTCCTCGATAGTGATTGCTTTCAGAGCAGGCCAAGTGAGTTTGTCGAGAGGTAATTCTCTGTAAAATAAATCCACTGCTTTTGGTGAATACCATTCTGACAAATCAAGATAAACAATTTGTGAGATATGTTTAGGTATGATTGAAGTTATATAATCGAGATAGAGATCATGACTCATGTACCGATTGTTAGGTAAACATAATGAATGTTGAGTGACGATAGCCGTGAATTTTCGATTTAGATTTTTGAAGGCGAAAAGTAAATCATGAGGAGCTAGATATTCGAAAATAAGATGTACAAGCTCAGTAGCTAAGTGTTCGAACTGCGATCGTTGTACACTCATTTTGAATATGAATGAATACAACAGTGTACAATACACCTTTTTTTTATATTAAGAGTCATTAGTCAGCGATGAAATGAATAGACAAAAATATGCTTACGCTCATATTCCATAATGATAATTGGTAGAACGGGCTGTTCACTCGTAACAAATGAGTAGCTGACAAGAACAACTTCAAAAAAAAAAAGAATCGAAGAATAAAACAATTGTCAATAGTTATCATTAACTAGTAATGTCTCTTATGAAAAACTGAACTTCGAAAAATCAATTAAAAAAGTTGACTATTTCAATCATAAAATCAATGAAAATAATTGGACAAATCAAGAAGAAATTTCGTTTCATGTCGAATATATGACAGAATATTAGACTTCATGATTTATTCTCTTATATCTTCAATGAAAGAAGAACATTACAAACAAGAGAAAAGAGGAGTGAATCAAAATGACTGAAGAACAATATGCAAGCAGAACTTTTTTTATCTACGCGCGGAAAAGAGAAAAGAGAGAGAAAAGCAATTGAGAACTCGATACCTGACATAATGGTATCACCAATAAACATAGTTTGCGTAATATCGAGTAAAAATACGCATTTTTTTCTCGTCTTCATAAATCACAACTATTTTAAATCATAATTCTGTAAAAAAAATTCGATATAGAACAAACAAAACGATCACGAATGATAAGGTAACATTTAGATCTAGTTTTTAATGTTTTATTTATATCGAAAGGGTGGGTGTGGGTGTGGGTGAAAAACTTATCTACACTCACACCCACACCCGCACTCACACCCACACCCGCACCCACACCACACCCCCACCCACATCCACCACACCCACACCCACATCCACCACACCCACACCCACATCCACCACACCCACACCCTAGTTATAGAGTTTCAACTGTCATTTTTAACGCTCAACAGGTATATATGCAGAGAAATTATGAGAAAGTATTAAAAATATAGGCTGAAATTCGATTATAATTTTATTTGAAATTTTTCTTATATCGAAAGATTAGAAAACAGAATTCTAAAAGTGTATCATTTCGAATGTCACAAAATATAAAGCTTTGAATCATCCAAAATTAAACATTTCTACAAAGACATAACTGTGTACTTTTACTCGTAAACAAAAGTTTTCATCATTCGAACAGGCTATTTTTGGACACTTGCGTTCCGTATACATCAGCATAGATTCTTTTTAGTATGCTTACATGGTATTTTCTTATTATTTTTCTGTTTGGCAACTGAATGCTATCGGTATAACGATTCATATGTTTTGTTTTACTTTGAAATATATAAGATTTCTCCTGTAGTGCGAAAAGTAATAACGCTGAGTTTCAGCTACGAGCTAACCCGTGTGTATATTCCTAGGGCAAAGATACCGGATGACACATACCTACACAATCCAGGGAAAACCAAATAAGTTTTAGCTTTTAGGCATTATAAAGAATGTTACATAAACCATCCACAAAAGTAAAAGAGGAAGTAAAATGAATTGCCTTTCTTCCTTTCGTCATTTACGTTTCACGAAGGAAATGATGAGAGTAAAACTTGAAATAATTTCTTGGAAAAAGAAGAAGGAAAGAAAGAGTAAACTAAAATGACTTGCTCAAATTTTCTATTAATTT